GATTTGAGAATTTGGGGTCCAGATCGAGGACTGGGGCTCATTGATTGGGCAAAGGTCCTGAGGACACGCCCACTCCGTGCCGAAGAGCACGGTGGCGGATCATGGATCAAGTGTTTGCCGAGTCTTATTCGGCCGTCTCGGACGGGGCTAGAACGAGGATAAGTCCGCTCCAGAGCGTTCTGGAACGCTTTCAGAGCTTTCTGGAGCGCTCTGAGAAGGGCGCGGCGCACGAGACATCCTCCAGAGCCGCCGGATCTCAGAGATTCTTGATTTGTCATCACACGAGTTTGTCCTCGTCCTGGCTTCGTCGAATGATCGCTGACGGGCAAGTCGTCATGCTCCTGCTCCTGCTTCCGCTCCTTCATCTCCTGCTCTTTCCGCTTCGCTCATCCTGTGTCCTCTTGGCTCGAGCAAGATCGGCCACGCGCGAGGAGGGGTAGGGGGAGGGGGGAAGTCTTCTTAGAACCCCTCCTGATTCTCAGAAGGCGCGGGCCTTGCCTATAGGGGTAGGGGCCCCGCCTTCTACGAGCCAGCCTCCTTCTAAGATTAAGTCGGGCCTGTCCCTCTACAGGGGGAATATTCAAAAGCAGCCAAACAATAGTATGGGGACTATAATTTGAGTATTGTTTGACAAGTTTGGAGTCTTTTTGAACATTTTCATTTTAAATCCCCCTGGAGGGGGACACGCCCGACTTAATTCTAAGAAGCCTTTCCCCCCTCCCCCCTGTACCCCCCCCCCTCGGCGCGCCGCCAAGAAGACACGGCTGCACAGACGCACTTCCGGAGGTCCGCGCGGATTTGTTTCTCTGGGATCGGCGCTGGGCCCCTGGCGGCGCGCCCCGCGTGCAGGGTGGGGCGCGGGTCCGCGAAATCCGCGCCCTCCCAAAGTTTTGACTGTGCAGCCTTTTCTCCTTGGGGTCCTACGACCTCTCAGTCATCCTTCGCCCTCTGGCCAAGTGTGGCTCCAGCCAGCTGGGGGCTGGAGCCACAATCGACTCCTCTTGGCCCCATTTTGGCTCCAGTTGGTCCTGGCGCCGTCTTGGCTCCTTCGCCTCCTGGCCAGTGTGGGGCCCTCCCCTCCTGTTCTGCCTGTGGCCACGTTGGCGCCAGCCGGCTGGAAGACCCGCAGGGCTCGAGCAGTGGTGAAGCGTCCTGGCTCGCTTGTAGGCCCACCGAAGAATGTTCTAAGAACCGTTTGTGGATCGCACGACGTGTTCCTAGAACTTGCCCGGCTGAGACTGTCTTGTCACAAACGCAACGGGCTCGTGTCCCAAGAGCCGTTTGTCGGCCTCCCAACATTGTGTGGCACCCCAAGAAACATCTCGCGGTACAGTCGGGGCCCCGAAGAAGGAACCCTTTTCGTGGGGGAGGGGCTCCATGTTCCTTAACTGCTTCGCAGCTTGCCTTGGATGTTCCTTAGTTTTTCGATACGAGATCGAAGTTCAACTTATGGAACATAGGGGCCACGTTCCTTCTTTAGGGTTCCTTAGGTCAACGCCCCGACTGTACACCTCAGGCGATGCTTAAGAAAACTTAAGTTTTCGGCCAGAGTCTCGACTATTCTCAACGTTTCAATGTAAATCCCAAGATTTGAATATAAATTCTGGGTTTTTTATTCCAATTCTGAGACTATGAAATTCTGAACCCAGGATTTCTCAAGCATTTCGCGGGGTGTATGCCCATAGGAGTGCCACGACGGTCGGCGCCGCCCTGCTCAGAGCCGCCCCTCGAAGAAGCAGAACTGGCGCAGGCACAAACTTTTGGCACTCCGCCTGCCCTGACCTTCCAGAGAGCTATTTTTTAGCACTGGAGATCTAAAAACCTAAAAAACTCAACGAAACAGCCTAAAACCAAGACGTAGAATAGCTCTGGGATAGGTTTAGAGGTCGGGTGCTATTTTTTAGCCCTCCTGGAAGGTCAGGGTGGGCTCCCCCGGCGGCGCCCCCGGCGCCGCCCCTCGTGCGCCGCGCGCGCCAGGGACCCAGACCCCCTCGAGTAATGGACAAATCACGACGGGCGTGTTTTTTTTTTTTTTTTTTTTTTTTTTTTTTTTTTTTTTTTTTTTTTTTTTTTTTAAATTTTCGGCCTCCGGAGGCCCTCACCGGGCCTCGGGAGCGTCAAACAACGACTCGGGATGAAAAACCGGTCCTGGGGAATGGGTCGAGATCTCTGGGGGTCGACGTCATGAAAAAATCATGACGTCGGGGGTCTGGGGAGGGGGTCTGAAGCGGGAATTTATACATGACCACCGCCTGGAGGACCAATTTCGGGGATCTCGGCAGGCGGTGGATATGGGCATATTCGGACCCCCGGGGGCCAAAGTGTATCCGTATACACCGCCCGCTGGGACACTAGGACGTCGGTTCCCAGGCGGTGGATCTGGATAAATCCCCGCCTCGCAGGGGGGTGTCCAGCGCAGATCCAGGACGTCCGCGCGGGCCGAGGGAAGCTGATCCCAGTCTCGGTGATGGTGGTCATAGTTGGGCTTCCTGCGTGGCCG